CGGGCCTTCAATCTACCTGGTCCACTCTCTAAGTCTACAATATGACTGGTCTGCCTGCACTGGGCCTTCAGTCGGCCTGGCCCACTCTCCGAGCCTCAGCACGTCTGGTCCGCCCTCTTGGGGCCTACAGCCTATCCGGACCGCTTGTTGGGCCTTCGGGATAACCGGTCTGCCCTGGGTATGTTGGCCTACAGCACAAAGCAGGACCCGCCTCAACCCAACCCCAGTCCAACCACCATGTGCATATAAACATACAATCATATAACAATTCACATCCAATCAAACCGATCTAGCAGATCACATATCATAACATACTCTAAACAGGATACCGACCTAACCGGTCACTAGCATCGCATCATCCTATATACCAGGATACCGACCTTAACCATATCTCTAACATATACCATCCTAACTACCAAGATGCAAACACAGCAAAGCAACAACATAACAACGATACCCGGATTATAATTCGATAAAGGGTCGGCCTTGGTGCCTTAGACCCTGTTGATATAGTGAGGATAATGTTATGCATCAACTTCGGTCCCATATGTTAGATAAGGGCAATATGGGAAAATCATTAAATAAAGATAATCTTATTAGTGCAGGGGCATTTTAGGCATTTTATATTAGTTAATTTGTTATGACAGATAGTATAAGAAGAGGGTAGTGGGCAGGGAGTGGAATATCAATCTTTTTGTGAAATCTGGAATTTATTCCTCTGGGAGATTGGCTATCTCGAATCAGCTAACCTATCCTTTTGTTCTTGATTCTGTTGAGTAATAGTTAAGGAATTGCATTCTGTTCTTTGCATTGTGTTGTTCTTGTTGTGTTACTCATTAAATTAAGTGAGTTCATAACAAATGGTATCAGAGCATTCATCTGGGATTAGGGCTGGAGATAAAGGAAGGAAGGAGGCTGGAGGAGCTCAACTCAAGAAGGATGAATCGCTTGAGACAGAATTAGGGTATTTGTATGCTCGAATGGAGAATCAAGGACATCAGATCCAACAGAACGCTGAATCGATGGCCTCTCTTCAGTTGAAGACGGACCAAAAGTTTAAAGAGGTCTTGAGTGCCATCGCCAAGAGCCGACCGGAAGAGCCCAATGGGAAGAAATCAGTGGTATCAACACCGGAAGTTGAAACAAGGAAGAGAGAAACTGTTTTGAAGGAAGGAGGGACCAACCGGAGGTTCCACAAACTTGAGATGCTCTTGTTTAATGGAACTAACGCAGAGGAGTGGATTTTTAATGTGGAAAGGTCATTCTACACGTATAAGGATGAAGAAATGATGAAGGTTGCTATGAGTTCTCTAGAAGGCGACACCTTACTTTTCTATGAATGGGAGCATCGGAGGTGGCCCATACGAGATTGGGAAGAGCTTAAAGAATTAATACGTCGGCGGTTCAAATCTTCTAATGACGCAGCGGAACATATTTTGGCGAATTCTCCGTTTGGATCGCTAGAATATTCCAACCATGACAGCAACAAGAATGCAGTTCCGATCCCAGGAGGTCCCAAGCTACCTTCCGAAGAGCGAGAGATGCCCTTGTTCGATGGTAATCAGTTGGACTGGATCCTAGAGGCTGAATGGCATTTTTCTTTTAAAGGATTGAGAGAAGAAGAGAAGCTTGAGGCTGCAGTAATGGCTCTTCAAGGCGATGCCCTATTGTGGTATGAATGGGAGCATCGAAGACGACCGATTAGAGATTGGCAAGAGATGAAGAACTTGATTCGTTGTAGATTCAGAACACCCACGTCAGCACTACCACCGTTCCGGGAACTGGAAGCAAGGAACAGGGACAAGAGAGATTCGCTTTTGAACCAGGAAGGAGCAGTTAGGGATCGTCGGAAGCTAGTAGCGTATTCTCAGGCCGCCACAGTAACAGAGCACAGACCTAGCATGACGGCTCCGTTAAACAAAGTAACGGAAGAGGGATACCCAGGTCATCGAAGAAATGGGCTGGAAAGCAAGGAAAGGGTCGAATTTGGCAAGTTGGGCCTACATGCTTAGGATCAGACTATTAAGGCGGATAAGAAGTTAGGCCTAGATGAAATTAAAATGACGGTAATTCAGGAAGTCTTGCAAATGCCGATGATTTCACCAGCACCGACCTTCTCGTCACCATTGATGGCCGCTTCTTCAAGCTTCGCCCCAACAGCTTTGGAGTCGATAGCATCAGTTTCTTCCAATTTCACCCCTAAAACCCTAGGGTTAAATATTGAACGTCTGTCTTCCACCAACTTCGCCACAGCCCTGAAGGCTAATTCCAATAACAACAGTAAATCGGTTCTCAGAGCTTGTTTTAGGCTAACACCAACAATAATACCCAAGCCTCCAAGGCTGTTTGTATGTGAAGAAAATCGTGTCAAGATGGACGTCACTATACCCCCTCATTCTAAATCCAGTTATAAGGAAATCATGAGGGAAGTGGGATACAACCATGACAAAATCTCATTGGTCCCAAGCTCTCAATTTGAAGATAACAACACCAATGAGAGGTCAACCAACCTTCATTGGTACAAAGGACCAACCCTTCTTGAAGCACTTGATCAGAGCAGGAAGCTTAAGAAACCACCGGACAAACCACTCCGTCCACCACTTCCAAAGGTCTACAAGGGTGTTGGTATTGGAACCGTACCAGTGGGACGTGTTGAGACTGGTGATGTAATGCCTCACTGGTGTACAAACGCTCTAACCACTGGATTTATTGCTGTAAAAGAAAATCAAATCAAGGAGGAATCAAGTATACCAAGCACTGAAGTTGAGAACAGACACAAGGATGTCAATGATCAATCAGGTAAGTCAAACTTCACTCATACCATGAGGAGAAATGGAACTGGATTTCAACAAGGGGTGGCTAGGGAGGCTGAGAAGGGGATTAGTGAGTCAGTGACATTTGGTAACAAAGGGAGGCAACTTAGACATGAGTACATTTCATGGAAAAGAAGAAAAAAATTATCAAGGCATGTCTTGGTTTACACCTCCAAATGATGCCCGTGCAAAAAGTGAACATTGTTATATTTCAAAAAGAATGATGCAAACATGGAATGGGCACACAAAGGGGGTTTTAGCCATTAGGTTCCTACTTGATAACAACCATATGCTTTTGTTGGGTGGAATGGATACCAAGGTCAAGATTTGGGAAAATTTTAATTCAGACAAGTATGAGGAATTAATGGAGGTTGATGTTATTGATCCCATGAAGATGGTGATATCTTACTGGGAGTATGTGGCAGAGACGTCCCTCATATCAGATTTAGTAGAGCAAGTGAGTGGGACATATGTAGGAATAGGAATTGCTGATCATGGTAAGGCACAAGGCAAGACAAAAAGGTCACCAAGAGGCGTTTGGATGTTACACCATTTCTATCCACCTTGAGGACAAGGTGGTTCTTTTAGGGTGGGGTATTGTTATGCATCAACTTCGGTCCCATATGTTAGATAAGGGCAATATGGGAAAATCATTAAATAAAGATAATCTTATTAGTGCAGGGGCATTTTAGGCATTTTATATTAGTTAATTTGTTATGACAGATAGTATAAGAAGAGGGTAGTGGGCAGGGAGTGGGATATCAATCTTTTTGTGAAATCTGGAATTTATTCCTCTGGGAGATTGGCTATCTCGAATCAGCTAACCTATCCTTTTGTTCTTGATTCTGTTGAGTAATAGTTAAGGAATTGCATTCTGTTCTTTACATTGTGTTGTTCTTGTTGTGTTACTCATTAAATTAAGTGAGTTCATAACAGATAACTCACCTCGCAACTGCCGACTGAAAAGATAAGACCGAGATGCTCTGACCACTGACACGATCTCCACCACTGGCCAACACCAACACTGAACTCAAACAAAATGCCAACAATTACCAAAATGCCCCTGGAAGTCAATTGGTGAAAGTCAAAGTCAAAGTCAACCTCCTGACTGACTCTACTTGCCGAGTCAACCCGATGACTCGTCGAGTCCCCATGCTCAGAATTTCCCCAAACCGCAACTCAACTCGCTGAGTCACCCCGAGACTCGTCGAGTCCAATAACTCTAAGTCCCCTCGCACTCAACTCATCAAGTCCTCCCTTGGCTCATCGATTCACGGCTTAACCAGAAGAAGGTTAGGACCTCACGACCAGACTCGCCGAGTCCAAGGCTATCTTCAACCAACTCGCCGAGTTGTTCTTCCAACTCGTCGAGTTCATGACCACCTTCAAGCAACTCGCCGAGTATACCCTTGTGACTCACCGAGTATCCCTAGATCTTAATCCATACAGAAGCTTTCCAGGCCATGCAGATGATCCAAACCATAGATCTACCCTTCCACAACCCATCCATCACGTAAAGTGGCAAACTTTACGTGAATCCAAAGATATCTAAGTATATAACACTCTAGGGTTAGGGTTTGGGACAAGATGGATTCACCAATCACTCAAGAACAGGGACTTTAATGCACTCTAGATCTTCTCCATTCCAGATCTTAGGTAGCAACCCCAGATCTAGCCTCCAAACTCGAAATGTCACAAGCTATTCTTTCCAATTACCCCAAAATGATGAATCTAGATGAATAACAACCCAAGCAACGAAATAATACCTCAAAAGGAAGCTCCAACAGAAGAGAAATCCGAATCCTAGCAAATCCCCTTGCTTCAAGCCTCTTAACTCTCCAAGATCTCCTCCAAAATCCTTTCTCCAAGGTTCATATGCTCTCAAATCACTCACAAACGCGCATTAGGGTTTTCTGGTCTTTAGAAGAGGGTAAAGAGGCCGGGGAGAGGGTATAATGTCCTTTATATAGGGCTCATTCTCTGAAATTAGGGTTTTCTCCACACAGCATCAACTCGCCGAGTCCAGCCACCGACTCGCCGAGTTGGCCACTTAACACGCAACTAGAATCGCGACCCTACTCGCCGAGTCTACCCATGGACTCACCGAGTTGCTCTTTCACATTTATACTTTGAACCCTGAACTTGCACTCCTGAACTCGGGATGTTACATAATTCCTCTTCATTACTTCAAAATAGGTTACAGTTGTTAACCCTAACTATTACATCATTATGATAGTGCTTAGCTAGAAACACAAGCGTTACAGCCATAACTTTCTCGATACAACTTCGAATCCGACCATCCTTATATCCATGAAAAGGTATCGAGAAACACTACACTTTTATCAAATCATACTTGTCATAAAGATCCCCAAACGGAAATACAATTTCCATAAAATCCCGCTGCCATTTTACCAAAATACCCATTAGCTCCAATATCCATGTAGCGCTCGAGATTTATAAGGTATTAAATTTGTATTTATTTAAGCAAAATAATTTTATGAGTTCGGATTTGGGCCTTTGGGCCTTCATTACAAGGCTGATGACGGACGAATGCGATGCGCAACCCCCATGTACGCCCAACGTAATCAAGGATACAAGACGCGGGCTTAATCGTGTACGCCCAGCGTACCAAATGGTACGCGCAACGTACGCGCGCAGTGTATTAAACCCTAATTTTGGGGACTTATCCCTATATAAAGGATGTTATGACCTTGGACCATCCTCCCTACCTCCCTTAAGCAGTCATCTCGAAAACCCTAGCCTACTTTTGTGTGTTCTTAGCCATTGGAGAGCATTTGGTGTAGTTTTGGGGGCATTGGAAGAAAAAGGAACTTGAAGAAGGAGTAAGGATCCACCAAGAGCTTGTAGATCTAGAAGAGTAGCACAATTTCTGACTTAGTTGAGGTATCAAGTTCCAACCTTGGCCATTATCTTCTTAGATTTGTTGTTAGGAGTGTTTAAAGTTACTTTTGGACTCCATTGTTGACAGTTCTTGCATCTTAACGACTTTAGACCATAATACCCGTCCTTTTGGGCTCCTAGAGGCACTAGGAGTCATAAAAATTGGATCTTGATGGTTAAGAAACAACCGTGCAAGGGTTATTGAGTTTTGGGGCTAGTTAAATGGACCAAAGTCATGTTTTGACTGCAGCCTTGCATGCATGCACATAAAGTTCGTGACTTTATGGTTTAAGATGTCTTAAAAGGCCTAGATCTACAGTTTGGACGAAAAAGCTTATCGGATTAAGTCAAAAATTAATCTTTTAGGGAACTGGCCAGTACGCTGGGCGTACTCCCCGTTACACGCCGCGTATTGGGTCAAATCCCCAATCTCTAGTCAAGGCAGCGTACGCTGGGCGTACATGCCCGTTACGCCATGTATACGCCTGCAGTTCGAGAACTAATGGACTTTTGGGCCTAAAGGAAATGGGCCTGGACTTTTGGGCCTCATGGCCCACTGTGAAGCATGATTTCGGACTTGAGGACTTAGGACTCGAGTATTGGGCCTTCTTGGGCCAAGTTGGACCCTTGAGAATTATTATGTTGGACTTGGATATTTTGGGCCCATTTAGGGAATAAAGCCTAATTCGGTAAATGGTCAGTTAGTGGGCCCTTAGGGAATCCTTAAAGGAGCCACAGGAGAGTTAGGCTTAATAAGTTAGATTTGGGACTTCGGTATGTCCAGTTGGGTCAAAGGGGTAAAATGGTTATTTTACCTTAAGATTAGTCATCAGCTTCTGATTAAGTGTCTTTATGGAAATTATAGCCGAAGAGTCGCCGGAGCAGCAGCAGACAGAGATTTCTCACCCAGTTTATCAGTAGTCACTTGTACGAGGTGAGTTACCTTCCAGTAGCGGCTGGTCTCCAGCCACAATGCCGGCCCACCAGTAGGAGTTGTATGTTAGATGATTGTCTTTGTGATATTCATTTAGGTTTTCTACTACCTGATATGTTTATGTGCTAGTATGTTATGATGTTATGTGATAGTAGCAGTAGGGGAGATAGTTCCCAAGATTACCGGTCGATAGGGCCGAAAATGGATTATGATTATGTGATATATGTTATGTGGTAGTAGTAGAGGGGTGAAATAGTCCTCGATGCCGATCGAAAGGATCGAAGGGGAGTCCAACACCCAAATATGCTAGACAATATCCGGTCGAAAGGACCGAAGGGGAGGCCAACACCTAGATATGATAGGCAATGTCCGGTCGAAAGGACCGAAGGGGTAGGTCGAGCACCCAGATATGTCTGGAAGTATTTATGTTTTATGTTTGTATGGTATGTAGTAAGATGGGGGAACTCACTAAGCTTCGTGCTTATAGTTTTCAGTTTTGTTTCAGGTACCTCTTCAGTGAAGGGGAAGGAGTCGGCGCCGTAGCTGCACATCACATGCACATCAGATTTCCGCATTATTGATTCATGGGATTATACTATGATTTTACTACTATTGGTGTTTTGATTTGGAACATGCTTTGAATGATTCATGGTTCGTTGTGATATTAACAAGATATTCTGTAACTGTTTTATAAAGCAATTAATTAAAAATGAAATTTTGGACTCGAAATTTGGGACGTTACAATCCAAATCTGAACGCCCGAAATATCTACATTTAATTACCCATGCCCAAATCGGTAACAATTCAGAACTGGGCGTTACAATTTAGGTGGGGGCGCATCTATTTCCGCCCCCATTTGGTCCCGTTGACATCCATATGCAAGGTTGATGGAGATGGTTCCAAGATGTAGATGATGATGAGTGAAATGAAAATCAATCTTAAGGGAAGTAGACTTATTAAGGTAATTAACTTTTCGGTTTTTTAATATCTAGGTAACTATCTTTTTTTGTACACTTCTAGGTAACAAACTTTTTGGAAGTGTTCACATATGATTATTATGAACGGCTGTAGCAGGTTAAATCCGGTCATATGTAAACACTTCTACAAAACTTCGTTACCTAGATGCGTACAAAAAAAAGGTAGTTACCCAGTTGTGAACAAACTAAAAAGGTAAGAGTAAATTACACGAATGGTCCCTGTGGTTTGGTTAATTTGTGTGTTTGGTCGTTAACTTCTTTTTTAACTTAGATGATACATATTGTTCATTTTGTTTGTGCGTTTGGTCTTGTCTTACCTCAAAAGACTATTATGTCATTTTTAATTTTTTTTTATTTATGTATTTATTTTGTATATATTTAAAAATTAATAGACCCTACATAATAACTAAATTAAAAAGGTAATTAGCTTTTCAGTTTGTCCGCATATGGATAACTATAGGTAACGAACTTTTTGGAAGTGTTCATATATGACCATTATGACTGAATGTAACCTGTTATAGTTGGTCATAATGATTATACGTGAACATTTCCAATAACTCCGTTACCTAGATATGTAAAAAAAAGATAGTTACCTAGATGTGGACAAACTGAAAAGTTAATTGCTTAATAAGTCTATTTCCTCAATCTTAATATGTTTTGTCCGCTCATGAAAAAAACATAATTTTTCGCAATATATATCGCACTGTTATTGTCTCAATGATTGTGGAACAATAATAGTACTAAAGTAGTGATATGCAATGGTGGATATAAAGATGAGTACAAATGAGTTTTTTCATCGTGTAGCGGTGTCGGTTTGGTGGTGGTATCAAAACGTCATAGCAACGAAATAACTGCAAAACCATAGTGGTTCTAAAGCGGTCGCGTCAACCTAGGGTTTCAATGGAGTTTTGTCATATTCGATTAATAAATCTCTTCACATATATTCAAATCAATACAAAAGTTATAAGTAATATGCTAACATGGTTGAACAAATTTATTAGGTACTTCACAAAGATGTTATATGCTAACATGTTTAAACAAATTTACTAGGTACTTGACAAAGATGCGACCATTACATGTCAAAATAGTTATGGTCAAAATATCTTAAATAATTTTATTAGGAAGGAACGAGTCATTCCCTCCCAACCCACTGAACCAACTGTCACATCATTTTTCCTCTTTTATTTTTCTTCATCTTTCTGAACCCACAACACACAGAAACCCTATCTTTTGAACCCACTCAATTAAAAAAATACAAAACAATCAAATGTAAAATCTTGATTTGCAAATTCACGCTTCAACGAGTGGGTTGATTGGTTTCACTAACCCACATCATCATCTCACTCTACTTTTTCTTTCTTATTTTATCTTGTACCATGTGTTTTAAAACTTGTACCTTAGTTGTTTTGTATTTTTTTTTAATTGAGTGGGTTCAAAAAAATAGGATTTCCATGTGTTGTGGGTTGCGAAAGATGAAGAAAAAGAAGAGATAAAAATTGATGTGACAGTGGGTTCGATGAGTTGGGAGGGAACGACTCCCTACTCCCTTAAAGAATACCTATCTTTTAGTTTATCTTTCCCATCAACATCAAAAGCTAATATGTAAAATATTTATAATGTTTGATTATTGGTGTTGTGTTGGCAAATCCCCCTCCCCTTTGATGTGGCAACTTGACCTCTAAGTAAGGACATGAATGTTCATCCCAATCAAATACCACAATCATGAAAAGCACCAAAACTGAAACCTAAAGCTGAACCGTTGAAGGAACATCTTTCCACTGTTTTTCATTGTTAAAACAAGCACCCTATTCAAGTTTTTTTTTCTTATTCTTACTAAACCACACTCAAAACTTTCTATTTGACTTTTCACTAAAACCATTACGCCTCCACATACATAATGACACATATTAACATTCCAAAAATTTGTTACAAAAACATCACAACTAACAACACGCCACCTTTAATGTAGCCTTTGCATGAATTAAAGATTTCATATTCCAAAACCAAACCAAATTACCCAACTATTTTTTAATTGGTTCATGTGAATTCAATTTGATGGTTCGAGTCTTTGAGAATTGTAGTTATTATTAGTAGAATACAAGTGGGTTTGTGTTTTCTCTTATCTATGAGCATGACAAGCCATGTTTAAGGGAACAGGTGGATCAGAGAATGTCCCATTAGCAATTTGATCGTACATCCATTTATTAGCTGCCTCGGTGTAGTGAATCCCATCCCAAAGGATTCTCAACGAAGGATTTTCACACGATTTTGCAATCAATAATTCTTCGCCTTTTATCATTTTCGTGGCCCCACACCTCCTTGCGTTGTTGAAGTTGTACTTTCCTCCGTGCCCACAACACACCAAAAACGGATCACCAAATCCTGTCATCTTCTACGCGTATAAGTTAGCTTATTTTTTTGAGTTTATTGCAATTTAGTATTTGATGAAAACACAAAATTAGCTTATAAACTAGTTTTTTATAGGCTGTTTGAGATAGTTTATTAATAAGTTAGCTTATAAACTCAAAAAAGTTAAATTTATAATGATATTGTTTTGTGTTTTTTGGTTTTTTTCATGAAAAAAAAAACCAAACTACCCCAAAACAACATTGTTTTGGGGTTTTGGGTCTGTTTGGTTTCTGTATAAAAAAGAGTAAATTACCCGAATGGTCCCTATGGTTTGTGGTAATTTGCGCGTTTGGTCCCTAACTTATTTTTTTAACTCGGAAGGTTCCTACTGTTTGTTTTTGTTACGCACTTGATCCCTGTTTTACCTAAAAATACTATTATTTAAATAGAGAAAAATATTGAGGTAGGTAAGATAAGATGAGAGGGGTGGAGTTTCGGGTGTGTTTATTTAAATAAATAAATATATCAAGGGAAAAATAGTCATTTTAGGTAAGACAGGAACCAAGCGCGTAACAAAAACAAACAGTAGGGACCTTCCGAGTTAAAAAAATAAGTTAGGGACCAAACGTGCAAATTACCCCAAACCATAGGGACCATTCGTGTAATTTACTCTATAAAAAACCAGACAGACCCTAAACAGATAGTTTTTTTTTTCTTCTAAAATTCATAAGGAAAAACGATGTTACCAAGTTTTTTTGCTTGTACAACGAGTGAATACTTGGCTGAATAGACATCAACATAGGTGATGGCGGCCAAAGGAAGATTCTTTCGAAGTTGGTGAACTGCGGCTTTAAGTTTCTCGTTGAAATACTGTGCCACGTCATTATACGGGGCGGCACAACCGTATTTATCCACTTGCGCCGCCGCAATCAAGTACCTATCCATTATGTACGGCAAGCAACCAACGGGACCCGTGTTGTGTATCCAAAATGATCTCCCGCCTCGATCGTACACTTTCTGTTTAATTACAAATTTTTTTTTCAAGAAATAATTAACGACACAATTTGAAGAATGAGTTTAATAAAACCGTTTTGTAATATTATGTATTATAATAAATTGTTTAATTTTTTTCTAAACCAAATAAGCAATTTAAATAAGACCAAGACTATGTTTGGTGGATTAGCTGATAGCTTATAAGGCTGTTGAAATATGTAAAATGACATAAAATGGTACATAAAAATTGAGGTTTTTTTTTTTTTTTTTTTTTTTTTTTTTTGATAATTAATAAAAAGCAATATATGAGTGTTTTCTTTTTGACATGATGCATAAATAACGTCTTAATAGAAAAAGTCAAGGAAACGAGTCTTTCCAAATCAAACCATTTTTTTTTTCAAAAATTGTTTATTTCCAAGTGTACTTTAATTTTCTATAATATTGTAATTATCCGATTAAGACTTGATAACAAAAAGACAGTGGTATATATCTCACCTTGACAACATTTGTAAACTGTGATATAACATCAGGAACGTATGCTTTTACTTCTTCAGTAGTCATATTAAGTCGATACCCAGCAGTGAGATCATTTTGGCCTATATCAAATGTGTACAATGCGCTTGAAAACTTGTCCATTTCAGGAAACAAGTCCTTAAAGACATCTCCTGCAATATCATGTATAATATTTTAATGCATTTAAGACAAGTTGTTATAATAAATGAGCCAAAAAAGTAGTACCTTTTTGTCGGATTATTTGGGATCTGTTCAAGAAATCAAAGAATTCTGCATACTGAATGTCTAAAGAAATTGGGCTATACCCACTTTGAAAAATTGTAGTGTTTTGACGTCGGATTGTGGATCCAGCTGTCGCATAATTGGCTCCATGGCTGAAATTTGTACCCATTGAATCCAAAAATGGACTAAGATAAGGTATTCCTAAACCTTCAGCTGAAAATTAAAGCAAAATCCACTCAATTCGGCTTATTATAATGTTACATTATTGTAAAATATTGTCATTATATATGAATCTGCCCAAAAATTAATGGTCGTGTTAAAGTTGTTTCCTTTGATTTCTTTGATATTTCTTAAGATGGATTTTTTTGAAGAAAAGTTATGTAACTTGTCAAAATTATCTTTCGGGAGTAGAAAAAAATATATGTATGAAAAGAAACATTAATAAAATATGTAAAGTTTGTTGACTAATTAGATATGTATCGCCATTAATAATATAAAAATGAACAAATAAAGTCGGGAAATTAAAATTGCATGGTTCAAATTTTTGACTAACAAACCCTGGCATGAAGATTCTGATCATAATACAGCCAAATTCCAAAACACATTTGGGGAATCACGGGATTAAAAACTACAATTAAAGTTTCGTCTATATGTTGATTTCACTCAAATCGATGGATCAATTTGAACTGATAAGATACGACTTTACGCTTAGCATCATAAATCGGACATTTATGAGTTTCAGGATCGATGAATTTGAATTCTCAGGGTATACTACACTTACGATTCTGATAAATTGATGGAGTGTTTTTTCGGAGCAGAAGATAGGGAATTACGAACCTATGAAATCGATTAGTAGACGGCCATCGCAGTAGCGGCCGGAAGGAGAATGGAAGAAAGTTTCGCCGTTAGGCGGAGGAGCTTGTCCGAACATCGCCGATAAACCACCAGTATCCGAATTTGAATCACCGAAGTTGAATACTGCCGGAAAATTACAGTCCGGCGAAGAGAAAGTCGGAATTAGTAGCAGTAATGTAACAGAGATCATTAATCCACAGATCGGAAACATTTTCATCGGAGAGATCTCTTGAGAGAGAGATTTGAAATTTAGAAAGGAGAAGAAGCCGATGGAGGTTTGAGATTTTATCAGTTTTTGAGTAAAAGTTTAAAGGGTGTTAGTTTTTCGGTGCTTCTTCGACCCTTAAGTCAAATATGTTAATCATATAACAATATTTATACATTTTCCTATATTTTTCATATATAAAATAAAAGTAAAATACATTTAAAATGGCAATCCATATGGAGTTTTTATTACCTAAAGTGTTGCATTTTTAATGTTTTACTTTTTATGGTGTTTTTTAATGTGATGCACGATGATGAAATATGTTATATTTTTTTTTTTGGAAAATTCTTCTTATTTTGGAATTTTTTTTTTAATAAAATCTATTTTTCTTTTAAATAAAAAAACACAAACCTAATATTGAAATTTGACTTTATCCTGTTTATCATTGTCATTCAATTCCTTTCATCCACCACAAAACATATGGTCATCCTCATCACTTTCTAAGACAACTCATTTTCTTCAAAGTCTAAGTTATAATAATCTCTCATGTAAGGATTACTTTCAACCATATACAATAAAGTAAGAAATCTATAATTTTAACACAACTTATAAATAAAGGAGGGATTTTTACCATACACACATTACATTAATAGTGTCAATGGTCCAATGTTGCTATTAGTCGGTGGAATTTCATTTGAGCTTTCTTCTTTGGACAAACCCTAATTAAATATCCTCTTGAATGTGGTGTATGTTGTTTTTTTTTTCCTGAGTTTATCAATGTTCATTTCCACATAATAAAGGGTTTAATGAGCAAAGGGGCGACGTCAAGGGTGTTACCGAGAGAATTCCAGGAAACCGTTAGGTGGTTAATATTGAACAAAATTGGAAAACATGATGTTCAATTTAGAAAAACAATCCAAAATCAAAATCGAAAAAAATAACAATGTAGTGTCTTTTATACAATTTGCCTATATATTAATTACATTATTCTCTTTCAAATTATCAAAAGTTTCCATCATTGTAAGGTACACCTCCTTTTTAAGTAATTAAGTTTTAATAGATAGGAATGAATAAAAATGGATCAATATATTTGAAGTTTATACTCTTGGGTGGTGCAATTTGATAGGGTACCAAACGAGTTGGAACGAGTTCAAGGTTGATTCAACAATACTAAATTAAGGTGCTATTTGATAACCTCTTAATGAAACTATTAAGAGATCACATTTGAATCCCTCAACATTCAATATGTTTGATATTGTCTCTAAACTAATCAAAAACCTTCAAACCATTGATACAATTTGCCTTTTTTTAACCATTAAAATATTAGAATCATTCAACACTAACGGATTTATTTTAATCAAACAACTCCTAAGTTTGAATTTGATTTAACAACATGATGAGTGTTCATGATAAAGACTCAAACTTGATTCGAAAAAGATTAGACATCTCAGGATAATTTAAAATTATCATTTGAAATAACATTTAATAAAATAAACCCGAGTTCAAAATTCAAATTAAAAAAAAAAAACAACTATAAGCACCATCTATATTCAATAAATATAATAAAAATAAAGCATGTTTAATTCAAGTCCCTAAAACTTAGAATTTGAATAATTTCAACTAAGAACCCTACCTATAACAAATTTGGATATCAAAGCCAAATACTACCTTAATGTTGTCTACGGCAGGTCAATCCTAACGGGCTTGGCGGGTCAGAAAATGATCCATTTACAATTTGATCAAATACCCATTTATTGGCTGCTTGGGTGTAATGTACCCCATCCCAATTTATCGCAGCCGTTGGATCTGCACAAGCTTTACCCACCAAGATTTCCGTACCATTGATTTTGATCTTTCCACCACAACCAATATGTACATTGTAGTTGTACTTTCCTCCATGACCACAACAAGCTCTCAATGCATGTTTAAACCCTAAATTTCAAACAAACATACAAGTCTTTAAACCACATAAACACAACACTTTCTTGTACCTTATTTGCAAATAATGCAAGATTTATCTTAAATTAAAGAATTGAATAAAATCACTCACGTAGGTGATTGATGCTTTGGGTAATCAGTGCATATTTGACTGAATAAATATCGACATATGTGATTGCTGCTTTTGGTAGATGCTCACGTAGTTGATCTACAGTTTGTTTTAACCGAAGGTTAAAATATCGAGCAAGTTCGTTAAATGGGCCCACACATCCATATTTGTCCACTTGTCCAGTTGTGACTGGTTGACGATCGAGGACGTATGGTAGACACCCAAATGGACCGGTATTGTGTATCCAAAATGCTCTCCCTCCTTGATTATAGATATCCTAATAAAAAAACTAAATTCGTTACAAAATGTAATAATTAAAATATTATATGAACAATAATATTTGTATCTTGAATAAAATCGGTTCATAGATTTTTTATGTAAATTAAAAGAGTTATACTCACCTTGATAACGGTTTTGAATTGACCTACTATATCAGGTACGGACTCCCTAACTTGCCTAAGAGATAAGTTTTGGAATAAGCCAGCAGTCAAGTCATTTTGCCCGATATCAAATGTATATAAAGCACGTGAAAAGTCTTCACTTTTGGGCATCAAACGCTTAAATACTTCATCAACTACACAATGAAATTTATAAACCACACAAATGTTTATAAATATGATTATTAGATATCATAATTATATGAAAAATGTTACCTTTTTTGGTGCGAAAATTTTGTACCCTACGATGGAAATCATTAAATTGATACCATTGAACATTTAGAGAAAAAGGACTGAACCCACTTTGGTGTAGGGTTGTGTTTTGTGGCCTAATGGTCGAACCAGCTGTCGCAAAATTGGCTCCTTGGGTGAAGTTCGAGCCAAGTGCATCTAAGTATGCACTCAAGTATGGCAACTCGAAGCTTTCAGCTGCAATTTTTTTTTAAAAAAAAACATTAATTGCTAGACAATGTTTTAAGAATTATAGAAATGTACATTTTACCTTAGAATTAACATAAAGTTTATATTAATGAGTACGGTGAACTAGTTCAATTGAAAGGTCATATATAATTTTATTTATGGTTAAATACACATCATCAAATATACAATATAATTTCATTAATTTATTTATCATACCATATTTTTCTTTTTTACAGATTTTTACTGGGAAAAACAATTCATTTCTAACAGTTCTCATTGTTATGATACAGGAAAAAAAAAATAGAAGTATAAAACATTTATAAAAGAAATATAATCTATAATTATAACTTAGTAGATCTTTCATATCTTAAAATTTTTATTAAAAAACAAAAAAGTATTGTTATGCCATTCAGTCACGTGCAGCTCCAATTATACGATTTTGGACACGAGTTAGGGACACCATTAAATCGTCTGTCACGTGAATAGAATATAGTCGTGTTTTCAGGTCATATAAAAATAAATCTTTTGTACAATTAAATGACTTTTTTTTTATCGCGAGATAATCATATCATTATTAAAAATCATGAAACTAGCCAAATAGAGAAAATCCAAAAAGTTCATTTTACTATTGATAAATAATTAAACATGGTAAATATTGTCATTTATAATTATAATAATACCCTTTATGTTATTTTAATGATTATCCAATATATACATCAATTTTCTGATTTTACCCAAGAAATATCTTAATGAATATGTAAAAGAAAGTGATTTGTATAATAAATACCTATAAAATCGATAATAAGCCGGCCATCACAGTACCTACCGGCCGGACCATGGAAAAAGGACTCTCCGTGGGGTGGTCCGGCCTGCCCAAACGCCGCCGATAAGCCACCAGTGTCGGAATTGGAGTCTCCAAAGTTGAAGATCGCCGGAAAATCACATGGGTGTTTACTGGTAATGGCACCGACAACTGAGTTCCTCAACAAAACCACTAAAAACAACATAAAAGCTTCTGCCGGAAGATTCCTCCGGAGGCGGAGCTCCATGACTGACTGAGAGATAGAGAAAACGGTGAGGGGGGAGAAATGGGTAGGAAAACGAAGAAGATAATGTGTCAGTAAAAACTAACCCGTTACATGTGCATCATGGGCTTTATGCCATTTGCATATAGTAGTGAATTACCAAAATGGGTCTTTCGAAAGTGGTGGGTTTCATGGGCAAGGAATGAAAAGAAGCAAGATTAAGGGGTATTTATGTCTTTTCGACAGTAAAACCGGATGATATGAGCTTCAAAATGTCGTCATGGCTAAATATAGGTTTACAAAACGATATCCCACCTTCTGTTGGAGACTAAAACTATAAAAATATTGATTTATATGTTTTCAAGGAAAAGATTTTGTTACATCTTTTTTTAGTATTATATTTAACTATAAATATAATGAAAAACCATACCCAAACATGTAATTTAAAACTTGAAGAAAAAAGATCTAGCTTAGGCTATGTTTGACGTACTAACTGAAAAGTTAATTGTTAGCTGAAAAACTAGTTGATAGTTGAAAAGCTAACTGTTAAATGAAAAGCTAGCTGATAGCTGAAAAACTAACTGATAAAAAATAACGTTTGGTAAAACTAGCTGAAATATATAAAATTACATAAAATGACATGTAAGAGTATGTGTTTCTATAATTAATTAAGGGTGTATTTGGAAATTTTTTAAAAAGCTCCTAAAAAGCTAGTCTAAGTAGCTTTTCAAAAAGCTAGCTTATTAGCTATTTTTTGGCTTACCAAACATGACAACATAAAAAAGTTCGAAAAATAAACTAGTTTACCAGCTAGCTGTGGGACGTCAAACACAACCTTAATAACATGGGTTGAATTGTGTACTTTTATAAAAGTACGCATTTCATTTTTTTTTAGCTTTTATAGCAACATATTTTATAGAACTTTATGTTTGTTGCAATGCATAGCTTGAAAACTTTAAAATAAGATATATTTTTCTATAGAGAAAAAAACTAATACTCAAATATGTTACTATTTTATGCATTTAACACAAAAGAATATCGATAAATTGCACCGAAAACTGGTTAATTGTACAAAATAAAGTCCCTTTTGATGTATTTTTGTCTAATCTTGATTTTGTTCATCTAAACTAGGTTTTGCACAACAAAGTTGGGTGGTTGGGTATGTTAATGGGGATGAGAGTTGTGAAATAGGATAATACAAATTATCAAATGCA